CAGCTTTTGTTTCTATTCGTGTGTGTGTGTGTGTGTGTGTGTGTGTGTGTACACGTACATTTTGTGCATACAAGTGCACATATAAGTGTGGCTAGATATATGTAAAAGAGAAACATCAACCTTGAGAGGTATCCCTCAGATATCATCTCCCTTTTTAAACAGTTACATTGTTTTATTTATACTTATGTGTGTATTGGAAACAAACATAATGCTTAACAGAAACTCTATGTAGTCCATAAAGCACAATATATATATATATATTTTTTTAGCACAATATATTTTTAATTTCTCTTTTACAGAAAAAGTTTGCTAGCTTCTGATTTTTAAATATATATATAAATATATATATATATATATATGATGGATAGATAGATAGATAGATAGATAGAAAGAAGGTTGATCTCAAACATGAAGGAATTGGCACCAGGAAATGAAGGTCAACCTCTAGAACTCATGTGGAAAATTGAGGATGGACCTGAATATGTGGTCTCCACTGGGAAAGGAGAAAACCAACTCCAGAAAGGTTTCCTCTGACCTCACTATGGCACTTATCTCCCCAACTCATACACATAAATAAATACAGAATAAATAAAAATTTAAAACCGTATACTTTTCCTGCCTCTGCCTCCTGTGTTCTGGCAGCACAGGTCCCCACAACATGCACAGACTTTTCTTTCCTTAATACTCACTGTTAAAATGCTTATTAAATAAGTCCCATGTTTTGCTACCTATGGTTCTGAGTAATAGAAAGGAAACGGCTCCCCATGATTAATTTTACACTGGAGCACTGAATTTAACCAAAGATGGAATCTGGCTAACTTCAAAGTAGAGAACAGACGGGCAGTGGTGGTGCACGCCTTTAATCCCAGCACTTGGGAGGCAGAGGCAGGTGGATTTCCGAGTTCGAGGCCAGCCTGGTCTACAGAGTGAGTTCCAGGACAGCCAGGGCTACACAGAGAAACCCTGTCTCAAAAAAAAATTAAAAAAAAAAAAAAGTAGAGAACAGACTAAGTAATGGTAAAGAAATGCCCTCATTGAGGAACAGTTCCCGACTTAATTCAAAAAGTTCCATTGGGCTTAGCTAGAGACAGGAAGCAAGCCCTAGCTGGAGTGAGATATCTCTGTAGAGGCTTACTTATCTAAGGAGTCTCTAACAGGGACCATGAAGTGGTGCCCTACTTATAAGCTGTAAGGAAAGAACGAAATGACCAATGGAGATAACATAACTCACCTCTGCATCAAGGGGAGGGAAAATGAGTCACACAGTTAAATCTCAGAGACTGATGGATCTGAAACCAAGTCACATAGCAGCATCCTGGCCAACTGGAACCTGATGTGTTATGTTTACCAAGAACCTCTGGGGATATGTTGGAGCCCAGATAATCACTGAGTAGACCCAAGAGTGACCAGTAATTAAATTCTAAGTGGCTTTGAAAATACATTGAGCAAGTTGTCTTTTGCAAATAGTATTTCCCTTGAAGACAAGTAATGTTTAAAAATCTGCAGGCCATTACATGTTTGCTTGCATTACAATCCCAGTTTCAAATTCACCCACCTTATCAAAAATCCAACACCAAAGGCTATATCAACAACACAACACAAAGAAGAAAATTGGCCAGCAGTAGATTTATTCAATTGCTGCAGTGGCTTAAGCCAATTCACACAGCACCAGAATGCAATTATGCTTTAAAACGTCCTTTAATAGCAGTAATACAAGAATAGGTATATTCTTCCAAGGAGGTGGTAATGGTCTTTGCCAAGGAATTGACAATCTGAAGAAGAAAAACATACAAGAAAGACTAGGAATAAAGCTGGAATAATTACTCAAATGCTAATGTGTCATATGTCTCTACCTCCAACAGGACTCTGGCCAATAATGACAGACAAGAATTCAAGCGGGTAGCTGCCAAAGAGAAAGGGTCGGCATGGAGGCAATGCAAAATGTTAGCACCAAAGAAATGGAAGCAAGGGGGTCAAGAGCAGCCTAGAAAGAGGAGAAAGGAAGGGCTAAGTGGCAAGAAGAAGAAACAGCTTGTTCTGTCACCCAGAGTAAAGTTTTATTTAAAGTGTTAGGAACTTCAATGACAGTGAAGTCTGGGAACCAAATCAAGAGCAAAGGTTCACAGCGTCAAGGCAGTGGTTAATCACTGAATAGAATACCCATGTCTTTGTTCCAAGAAGTCCATGGCCAGGGCTTGGGGATGAATGTATCTGAGGTAGTCCACTATTTCCCTAGAATTCTCCAGGCCTGGGTTGGATTCAGCACCTTATATAGTAGTGGTGTGTGCCAGGAATATATATAGTACAGTGGTGTGTGCCAGGAATCCAGCACTCAGAAGTTGGAGGCAGCAGGATGGGGTTCAAGGCCATTTTGCTACATAGTATGTTCAAGGGAAACAGGCCTAGAGATAACGTTAGGGGAAAAAAAAGGAAAAGAAAGGAAGGGAGGGAGGGAGGGAGGGAGGGAGGGAGGGAGGGAGGGAGGGAGGAAGGAAGGAAGGAAGGAAGGAAGGAAGGAAGGAAGGAAGGAAGGAAGGAAAAAAGGCAGGCAGGCTGTGGCTTAATTTTTTTCATTTTAAATCTCTAGAAGTAAATTTAAGACAGAGAAATTATTTTCCCCCATGAAAGGCTGAGGTACCAGTAAGAACAAACTGTTACTGAGTTACATGCTCATTAGAGGGCTGGAAACGGTCGGAAGGAATAAAATGGCTAAGGCCAAATTACCCAACTGCAATTTCTACTTTAAAATCTGAGGACACTAAGGATCTCATCAGGATTTATGGTGACTTATTAGAGTGACTGTGTCTTCACCTTTTAAAAAAAATGATCTTTTTAATTTATGTTTTTATTTTATTTTATTTATTTATTTATTTTTTGTTTTGTTTTTTGCTTTTTTGAGATAGGGTTTCTCTGTGTAGCCCTGGCTGTCCTGGAACTCACTCTGTAGACCAGGCTGGCCTCGAACTCAGAAATCTGCCTGCCTCTGCCTCCCAAGTGCTGGGATTAAAGGCATGCGCCAACACTGCCTGGCTCACAGTGATTTTTATGATAGCCAAGAGTTATATAGTGAGACCCTGCCACTAAAAAAAAAAAAAAAAAAAAAAAAAAAAAAAAAAAAAAAAAA